GTAGTTTAATCAAGCATTCCATTTGAATCTCAAAATTGGAGTCATAAGTGAGTTATTACAACTAAAAACTTGGGAAAAGTTCTTTTATGAAAAAAATACAATCCATTGGAAAACAGCTCTTTGTTGAAAAAATACAATCTCAAAGTTCTTTTATGACACCTGGATTGCCTCCAGTCTCAACCTGAAAGTAAGGCAAGATGTTAAAGCATGCCATTAGATAAAGCATCAGAATTTAAATCTACAAACTCAACTCATGGAGAAAAAAGTATGCACTTCTAAAGATACCACAAAAATTAGCTTTAAAAGGTCATTAATCTTTTAACAGCAGAAATAAACTTAAGGCAACATTATAGTCTCTAAATATGGTGAAGAACTAAGCTCCTGTTTGAATTTCCAACTGAAATTGAATGGGGCCATTCCTTTCTCACAAAAGAATTTAACTTAAAACTCATCAACCTTGAACTGTTATCAAGGCTACTCTTTAGACAAATACAAAAGGTGTTTGAATTTAACAGGACTGTTCACAATTTCATAACCATAACATCTAAGAGATCTCAATCCTAGAAAACTTCATGCAAGTCATTCAAAAATTTCCTCTAAGTGCACAGTATCATGTGAATAAAAGAAAATGACAGAAGAGAACCTGGCATGCCTCTGACAGAGTTGAGAATCCATCTTCAAAACAAAGCTGAAAGTCAAAATTTTAACATAAAAGACATGTATGGGCAGAATTATAAGGTTCAGCTGAAAAGCATAGTAAAATGAATTTGGAACCTGTACTCGTCACTAACACCATATGAAAAGACTATATCCTGAAACTCTTCAAGCACTGCCACTGCACATGAATTCATAAGGTTTAAAGCTTGGCCATCGTTTGGTTTCTCAAATTCATGACCTTCAGAAAATCACTGACACACACTCATCTGCAACATTTTTCATTATGTAAGATGTTTCCAATGAAACTGAGGAAAGACAGATTTATAGATCCAGCATGCCTTCTTAGTTTTAGAATCAAACATCCTTTCCAACATCACCACATCATGTTAGGCCATGAAAATTAGATTGGGACTTTAAACAGTAATTCTATGGTCCCAGAACTTCTTTCCCAGAAATCTCCTAGAATCCAATTACCATGTGCAATATCAACTACAGCATAAAATTGGGTATGATCACTTGGTTGCAAGAAAAAGAAAACCAATAAATGAGCAGAATATATATATATATATATATGGGTAATACATGAGCAGAATTGTACAATCATGAACTAAAAATTATACACGCGAGGTCACATGTATCGGTAATAAGACTGGCCAATACTGACCATAGGGTAGGTATGATCTTTATCTTTAGGAAAAGTCATAAAACTGAACTGTTGAGTTCTAACAAATAGTTGATAACCTGAGGATTGGTCAACTTGGGCTGTCGTCGTTCAAGCCGCCTTAAATGATACTTGTAAGCTACAAAACCAAAAGCACCTTTTGTCGGCCAAAATCGAACAACCTTAAAACATAGAATTTGGAATCAATCAAACCGAAGTTAGAAGTCATGATAAAAAAGCAATTGGTGAAGTACATAGACATAATCAAATGACCATTCATGTTGAAATGAAATGTCAAGTCAACAAAGCCTTGTTCCAACTACTTGGGCTACATGAATCTTGTTTTTCTATTCCACTCAACCAAGGGCCTTGAATCATATACAATGTAACGTAATAAAAGTAGAATCTTCTTGCATAGTAGCTTAAGCATACCGTTAAATTGTCAATTTTTTTTGGGTACATTGTCCATGCATTTTAATGTTTTGAAACCAAAACCAGCTATGGCTTTGAGCTTCTTGTCAATGTTCTATCCATGTTATTGCTTTTCATATCTGATTACTCTTGGGTGAGGTACAAATTTATAGATTACTTAGTAACATCATGTTAGCCATCAACTTTTAACTACATTGACTGCATCAAGATATTTTTGTAAAAGAAGCCAGGATACATACCTAAGCTTCAAATATCATTATAGGCAAAATGCTTTTTGCAAGTGTAAAATGGATTATCAAAAAGCTCACGCAACTGAGGAGACACCACAGTGCTCAATCATGCCTAAGCTAAGAAGTTTTAAGGGACTACATGAAGACTTAGTAATGAAACCAGCCTACATTAGCTAGAAAAGTAAAAATTATGAGGAAGCCTTACCAAAAAGAACAATACAAGTCTAAGGATTTGAATGGTTATGCAATAAACATAAGAAACAAGGATATCAACTGTTATTCTAGAGAATTGCCTCAAAGGTTTGTTGAAAGAGTTCTGCCATAAAGACTGTGAGCATCATTACATAATGCTATAGAGATGAATAAGGGAAAAACCATCAGCGTAACAAGTGCCTTACTATCTTTTGTTCATAAGTGATTAAACCAAACCAAGCCTAATGTTCCAATCAAGTGGGGTACTACATCAATCCTTTTCACCATTCCTATCTGTCAAGGGATATATGATCAGTTCGATTAAGTAAATTCATATATTTTTTCACTACTACTATTATTGACATGAACTTGAGAAATACTCTAAACTAGAATGCTAGCTGCATTAGATAGACAGCGTTAGCATTACCAATACTTCCAACCAAGAATTCCAGAAGTTCCAAAACATCTGAAGGAATGCCCTTGATAAGTGCTTATCAGCCCTCAAATTATGTCTAGATTGTAGCACAGTTGAATTGAAATCAGCATCTTGATGTCCATAAATTCTAATAATTTTTTATTTGATTTCATATTAGTTTTGTGTCACAATCCATGTGCCCAATTTCATGAAGCAGAGCAAGAGCAAAAAGAGCAGCAAATTGTCTAAATTCTTGGGTTCCTAAGCACCATGCAAATACAGAAAAAATGTCCAGCTTGAGGAAAGGTGGCAAAGAACAAAACAGATAACCAAATATTCAAAAGTCCCTTTATAAACGGCTATAGGCATTCATCAGGTCTAGCGTAAGAAAAAATAAAGGTTACTTTGCTGTTTATAAACTTTTATTTTAGAAAAAGATGCAGATGATTTCTCCATTTAGAAAATATTTTCACATTACATGTATGTTCACAAAAGAGAGCAGTATTGTATATTGTTCTTGCCTTACGAACTGTTGTTACGGAAAGACCTTTGCTCAAAAGTGTGTCAGCAATCCATCCTCCTATATTTGCAAACACAGCCATGGTCAACCAGGGCAACATTTGGATCATAAATTTAAGTACAATTTGTAAAGGAAATGGGAAAAAAAAATATGATAAAAATATAAGCTAAATTTTGATCTCGTTTTTCTTTCCTTTGACAAATTCTTGTCAAATTCATTGAGGCTTGAGAAGTGAAAACGATGCATTACAGAACATCATATCCACGCACAGACAGTGAAGAAAAAAGTGCCTTGAAACAATAGGGATGTCTCATTGTCAAAAATAGGGAGTGTTAGCCTATCAATATCTTTTATCTTTTCTCTATTTTTGTATGTACAGATAAGCCCTATGCTATCTTTCCTATCTTCCCTTGAAATCTGGGTGCTAAGGGACCTGCTGTAGTCTCTAGACAAATAGAATAAGGACCAAAGGCCCAAACTGACATACACTGGCCCTACATCAGCTGATCATGTCCTAATTATGAGAATTTTTTTGGTTCAATGGAGGACGGATGTCATCTAATACTTTTATTTATTTATTTATTGTGATTGGTTAAACAATAGAATCTATTACATTTATTTTAAGTATATAAGAAATAATAGATAAATTATACGTTTGTAATTGGTAGAAGATATCATATAATACTACCACGTGATACCCTCTCAACATAGAAATCATACCACACCATATGTCAAAGATTCGTTTAATTTAAGAAGAATCCATCTCATGTTTAACAACTAAAGCAGTAGAATAGAAATAAGCCATCAAAATTCAAACTTTAACACAAATCCATAACCTTCTGCACTAAAACAAAAACACAAACAGTAATTCAAAGTTGAAATCAAAGGATTAATCACCACCAGACTTCTGATAAACATAGGTGAAGCCACACTTGCCACAATAGTGCCGATCAAAATGATTCACCATGAAAGTCCTAGCACCGTACTCCCCATTAAGGCTAGGTTGGGGCTCATCCTTAAAATATCAATATCGCATATTTAAAAATCAATGATGGACTGCAACAAGTACACATATTCAATCCCATTTAGGTAATAACCTACATGTTTGGTGTTTAGAGCAATTTTAATTTATTTTTAAAATTGAATACGAATCTGGCTTCAAATCTGGCAGAAAATCTGTCTTAAAATTTGTCTCCAAATCTGTCTCCCAATCTGTCCAGCAATTTGTTTAAAAATCTGTTCATGGAAATTTGTCTGTTTGGTGCATAAAGTGTCATTGATTTATACATTGATGTGTTAACAGGTAGCAAAAGATGGAGAGTTGGATTTCCCAAAGTTCTATGAGGACAGCCACACTTCAAAGAAAACGAATGACTGGATCCATCCGAAATGCCGTGAGCTGCATGTAAGTATGTGACAAGGAAATATATGTATTCAATATTTTCTTGTACTTAGTACCCAATAATACATATATGTTGCCAAAGTTTTTTAACCCTTATTTATTTGAAATGACAGCAAGAGATGGTCAATGTACAAGCGGCTGCCATCGAGTCGGGGACGCCATTGACACAAGAGGATATTTCAAGGCAAGTGCTTGGACAGAAGAAAAGGTACTTGCTTGGATTTGGGAGTGGCCCACAACCGTCTACCATATTTGCAACACGAGCACACGATAAGGACATGGAGGCAATGCGAGCTGAGGTGGAGGCACTTCGTGAGGAGCGGCAAAAGGATCATGACGAGTTAATGAAAGAGCGAGAGGAGCGCGAGAGATGTTACAATGAGTTGTTGAAAGAACGAGAGGAGCGCATTCAATTATCCAATGAGATGTTGAAAGAGCGGGAGGAGGGACAAAAGGCAAGGGACGAGACAAATACAAAGGTCGAGCATCAGTGGAGACACTGATGCAGTGGTTCCTGTGACTGCAACTCGATACTCCATTGATGCCTTGAAGCTTCCAACTATTACCAACTATTACAAAGTTAGACAAAGTTTTATTGGGAATTCTATTGGTTGGGGAAGTGTATGTATTCGTCATGAAAATTTAAATTCTATTATATATAAACAATTTAATGATTTATTGGTTGGGCAAGTTTTGTAGACATGCATAGGAGTGACAAACAATTTATTGGTTTTGTATTTTGGATTAGGACTGATTTCATCATGATTCACGACATTAATATATGCGTTGAGGTGAAATTAAAACAAAGTCTTACGAGCTTGTAATATGCTAGTCTTGGCAACACATGATAAAGCTGAACCTGTTAAATGCGTACTCAACTCATTAAAGCTTTTTATTCTATTTACTTCTTGTTGGCTTCATGTACTATTTTTCGCAATTCAGCTGTCTATGCCATCATCTTCGGCCATCATGACCGAGATTAGGTCTAGTCACATTAACAGGCGTACCCTGTTAGAATTCATTCATATTATTCTGTGTGAATGAGTTTGCCTTTCAATTTAAGTTTTAGTATGGCTTACATTTGGCATTTTGGCAGATGATAAAATAACTGTTTTGGAGTCAGAAAAGAGAGCTTGGGAAAGTTCCTCGAATTATGAACATATAGGGGCTTCTTGCATTTTTTTTACACATATTGTCACCAACCTTTTGATCCTTCAGTAAATAATTGGGATGTGAAGTATTTTTGCTGTATCATGAACTACTTATTTTATTGTTTCCATAAATAACTTTCCTCAATAATTTGTTTGATACCAGTGCAAACCACATTATCTAAGCAACCTTCCCTCCATATTGTTGTCTTACTTTTATTGCCGTTAAATATTTTTCTTTCTGCTGCATTTTTGAACACCAGAAGTTGAAATGAATATGGACCTTTTTATCTTTTTGTTTCTTTACTTATTAGATCTTTGCAATTTATTTATTTATTTATTTTTGAGTGGTTTCTTCCAATTAGGAAATTTTTTTATCATTTGTTGGAGCCTGTAATTGGAAATTTAGTGATATAATTTGACATGATTCGGTGGATACTAAGCTACCAATAGAAACTTGTTACAAAAAAGCTTTGTAAATGGTCTAAGGGTTTTATGTTTTAATTATGGCCAGTCTGTGTAATGCCTGGTGCTTGGTATTGATAATGGTGGATATTCTTCACAGGTGCTTCTCCTTCTTACCAACTGAAGCAAGAATAGCAAGATCATGAGACGAAGTACATAATGGTCCTATATGTGTATTGCCTTTCTGTGTCTCCCAGTACATATCATTCTTCCTATGTTAGTACAAAGAGCCAAAAAGGTGTGAGCATACATTTTTATGAAAATGATTGGGGCCCACAGGTTTTGCTGGCCTAATCAACTTCTATTGTTGAATGGTTGCCTCGTGTCTGACTTTTTCAAAATATTTTTGGAAGTATATCAGTTTAAAGGCATTTGAAAATCTTAATGGCGGAGTTATTTGGTCTGATGCATGTTGAACTCTCAAATGGAGTGATCATTTCTTAGACCATGATTCTTTAAACAAATTTAACATTTAGCATGGAATTGGTTTTTAATAGTGTGACACTAGATTCCACCAACGCAATTTCGGCTTGTCTCCTGAGCATGCCAGTGCCCTAGAACAATACCTGAATGTTTAGAAACATCAATTTTTATCATTCACTTTTTTTTTTCCCATACCATTTTCTTGACTTAATCTTGAATTTGTTTGTAAATATGCTAATCTTTTTCACTCATCAATGTTCCTTTCAGGCCATCCATGGATCTTGCTCTACACTGACCGCACATTAAGGACGCTATCTATAAAGTCGAAATGAAAGAGCCGGTCACCACCACCACCACCTTCCCAGCTACCAGCCACAACTAGACTGGAGGAGCAGAATGACCGTAGGACAGCCTATGATTCTTTTGGTGAGACTACCGATCCAACATCGTTGCCTGGAAGTTTGAGTCGCAAGACTAAAGAGCAAGACGACTCTGGTGCCAGGACGACATCTTGTACTTATGGAAGGACTGAAGAGCAACCTTCCCTCCATATTGTCCTCAATAAAAGTAAGAGAACAATATTGAAGGGTTTTATGGAAGGACTCGAACAATGGGAGCTTATAGTGATGCCAAGACGACATCTTGTACTTATTAGAACTTATTTTTGGATGGTTGGAACTAAAATGTGTAATGGGAGTAATTGGTTTTTCCTGTATTATGTATGAAATTAAATTATTGACGTTGGATTACACTTGGTTCTTATGGAATTTGTAATACTTAATAAAATATAGGTAATTGGGTGACGTTCAAAATATTAATCTATTTTGGATGGTTTGAGCTACAAACAATGTGTTGGCCACATGTTGATGCTTGATATAATTAGTGTTGATGGATTATATTTATTTATAACAGGGTATCAGGTTCGTATCAATAATGGGAATTACAGGTTGTTTTAGAAATTTTTTTTTTCTCTTAAAAAAAAAAAACCGTTAAAGCATTTGGCCTACAAATAATTTTGGTAGCCAAATACGTAATCAAATGTTTGGTGACTAATAATATTAGTGATACTACACAGTAACCCCGGCACCCCCTTCCGAATTAACTTATAGGCCTTAATGGAGAAATTAAGTACGTGGGGCATAACTCCTTGCCTCTAACCCTTGGAAAATAACCCGCTAGGTTTGGGGGTCTCGAAAGTGACACTTTTTGAAACACATCAACTGGATGCATCGTTTGCGACTAACCAGTCCATTCCCAGTATAATATCAAAATGAGCTATGTCTAGAGGCAATAGATCTACTACAATTCAACATTCTTATCACAAGCGCACAACCAAGCCCTGTAAATGGATGCAACAATCATAGATCTCCAGTGGAGTAGGATTACAGCACACACATAATCAAGGGGCTTCTAAGTCTCCCCTATTAATTTTCTCGGCAAACTTAGTAGTATAAACGATGAGTAGAACCCGAATCAATCAACACATAAGCTCTTGGAGCAAATTAGAAGTATACCTGACCTAACTACTGCCTCAGCATTCTGAGTGTCTCCTGGTACTACTAAACGCAATACTTACTGCCCTGTTTCATCTGTCCTTTCCGCATTTCCTTCTTGAACGAAACCCCCGAGGTATTCTCCACCTTTCCTCTTATTTTCATCAGCCTTTGTCTTTGGGGCAATCTCGTCACATAATGGGTCCCCATCTCGCCAACATTCATAGCAGGCTCCAGACGTTCGTCGACAGATCGCGAAATGTTTGCTTCCACAGTCCGAACAACGTCGGCTTAGCATTACTTCCGGGCTTAGGTTACAGTACTCGCCCATGTTCATTCTTCTTCTTGTGCCCAGCTGTCCTCGGCATTGTCATAGTTCTGCCTTTTTCGCTGGTTTCTCCTGAGCTCTGGTATCGATTCAATTAGCTTCGGCCTGAATGGCTTTGTCCAATACTTCGGCATAAGTCGGCATATCCGACAAATTAACTGCCGGTCTTGAATCGGTCTCACGAAGCCCACACTCGAACTTCCCTGGCTTCATATATTCATCGTTGGTCCATGTGAGGTACAAACCTTACCAATTCAGTGAAAGTGCGGTCATATTCCGCCACTGTTCTGTTGCCTTGCGTCAAGGGTATGAATTCGGTAGCCTTGCGGTTTTCGAACGCTAAGGGAAAATGTTTCTTGTAGAACAACTGCTAAGAATCGAGTCCAAGGTAAGATCTGGGTGGCTCTCCTAACCATCATCCACCACCTGCGGGCGTATCATCTAATGTAAATGCTGCCGAACGTCAACTTCTGGGCGTCGGTGCTAGGGAAGATCTGAACATTTTCCCCATTTCTAAAACCCATGCCTCACCTTCAATCGCTCTATACCCCCAGAGAATCTCAGTGGTCTCATTTTCTTGAATTCCCTGAATCAAAGCTATCGTGCCATCCCATATAAGGCGGCTGCGGGGGAACTTTGCGCACTGGCGGAGGCGGTGCTCATTTCGGCCAATTGGTCTGCGCTCGCCTTGAGTCGACGTAGCAAATGGCGAACTGCTGTCCTGGTTTGCCTCAACTCACGGGCCAAACCTTTTCACTAATCTTTCCAAATACTGTCCATGGTCTATCTTCGGGCTGATCTCTGGCCAATTGGGGTCTCCCTCTCCTCATGATGCTATGAGCGTGCAAAGTATGCTTAAAACAATTAAGCAAATAACCGCATAGGCAGTTAGCAAATAAGTATATCAAAGACAATGCACACTCACTCAAACAACAAATACATGATACACACCGGTAACATCTTTTCTAAGGGAAATCCTATGCTCTTTAGGAACTCAAGTGTGTGAATAACGTAATACCAGAGGAATTGTTCCTCATGATACGCATTCGTCAACGACCCAACCGGCCCTAGGTAGTTTGGTGCCGTGATGGCCAGGTAATCCGTAATTACCAAGGCCACTTTTCAAAAACTTAACACATCAGAGTAATGGAAATAGAGGGCTCACAAATGCGGAAGCAATAAAATCAAATACAGTGGTCCATAGAGCTGTGCATAGGTAAATGAAATGTCATACCATAACTACAACTTGAGTACAACAAAAGCAAAATATGTGTTACATCTTGATCAAAAGGTTTCTCGAGCCGACATATCAAAATAACCAATAAAATACAAGTCAATAAGCTGAATTTCAAGATTTGCCGACATGCCAATGAAGGCAAATCGCCGACGGTAAATACAAAAGCAAAGCCGACATAAGCACGAATCCATAACAAGCATCCAAAACGATCTAGGCGCGCCGCCAGTCCTGGCTCATCACTACATATATATAAAGGGGTGAGTACAATACTCCAGTGAATGGTACTAATAATAAGGTTTTGCATGAATATAAGCTGAGGTCCTTCAAAACGAAACACATCAAACTTTATCAAGAAAGGGATGAACCGTATTCATCAGTCAAATATTACCAACATCGCGAGGCAAGGGATGAACCGTATTCACAGTCAAATATTACAAGTATCAAAGGGCTGTCGATCCGTATCATTGTCAAGGTACTATGGCGAAAGTTTGCTATATCCTCCAGTACAAGGGACTTGTGTTACTTAGGCCCGTAGTCCAGATTTAAACAATAGAATCTTTTCAAGAATGGGAACCGATCCTTTTCCTTAGTAACTACGCGAAGTTTAGAGTCCTCAGCACATAGGATTCCAAAGAGAAGGACCGTATCCTTTTCAAAGATGGCATCAATAAAACCAGGATTATACTTGTCATATCAAAAAAACAAGAGTTTATTCATTCATGCTTAACAAACACTTTTGTCAAAAACGAAGGCAAGCAAGATTTATCAAAACAAGTTATAACATAGCTTATCAATAATACCACTCACCTAGTTCCTTCAGGTGTAAGACTCAAAGCAAATATCAAGGTCTTACAAATCACATGGCAATTCACATTCTCAAACAGCCTATACCTATAATACGAATGATCTCGGCATTCTTAACCAGCTCCGAGCTTAAATAACAAGCGAAAACATGCTGGGAGTTTAAACACTGCTCCGCTCCACGGAAAACATACTGGGTACCAACCAGGGTTCCTTTGCCGAGGTCCACACATCTTTGCCGAGGTGTGGTCCCGTTGGCCTCAATCAAAAGGCAAAGTCGGGAAAACCTGGGTTTCCCTTTGGAATATCATGAAAGAATATTGAACGAATATGATCGTGAGAAAGATGAATGCAAGATCAAAACTTGTTACAAAAATCTGAATTCGTGCCATGAGTTTCAAAACAAATGGACCTGGTACCCATATAAGAAGGTCAGTGCAGACTAAACACAAAACATGATTTTCCTTCCAAACTTTCGGATCAAAATGAGACTTTCTTCAAGAACACATGAAAAACCATTTTCCTCTTTTCAAAACCATACTTCAAAACGGGCATGGCATGCAAACAGATTCGATTCGTGCAAATGCAGCTAGATGATCATACAACAAACCATAGTAGAATCAAGATTTCTAATCTCAAATCGAATCCAACGGTTCAAACCACGAAGATCAGCTTGGAAAGACTTACTCTCACTCAAGAACTTTCCTCTTCCTTCTCTCTAGAGCTTCTCTCCTCTAAAACAAAGATTGAGAAAAATGAATTGTTTCTAAGTCTGCGGTTTGTCTTAACAACCAGCTCGGACACGTGCCAGCTGCGGGTTGGTTCACTCAAAAGGTGATTGATAGACAAAACAAGACTCTGACAAAGCGTATGCAGCAAGTCGGGTAAGACAACATGGACAATAAAGGACATCGGCTAATCAAGAATCCGGAACAGGAATTAACAAGGACATCGGCTAGGGGAGGACGACGCTTGACTAAGCTGTGCCATAACCTTGGCCGAGGTGTGCCACATCTCGGCCTAGGCCATACCTGCCTGCGGACAAGGTTCACTGAGTGCGAACTCTCGGCAGTAAACGCCCGAGGTGTAGGTGGGGTGCAACCAAGGTCTCAAAACAGTTCTAAGTGAAAAGTTTTAAAGGCCGAACTAAGCTAAGGCGACCTCGGCCACACAACACACACTAAGCAAAGAACAAAAATCATGCAAGCAACTGTAAGCAAATCCAAGGCAAAGACAAAACCTTCAAATTAACAATAACAAGCAAAGATCATGCAAGAATGTATGCAGGTATGAAGAGAGTAAGGTGAGGGTTGTTACATGGTTGCTGCCCAGACTTTGGCTTCTTCGTCGAGCGACGGCTTTTTTGCGGCTCGAGCGAGGCTGGTATTTGCTTCTTCATCGAGTGAGGATTGAGGGTCTTCAGGTTTCTTTTCAAACGCAGCTCTGCTCAGAGAGCGAGCTTTCTTGCGCTCGAGCGAAGCCAGGTCTGGTGTGTCTCTTGCCTCGAGAGCATTCTTACGGTCGAGCAAGGCGTCTGCATCTCTTTTGGACCTGAAGGTTGGTATCTTAGGTCGAGCGACGCTTCTTGCACTCGAGAAGCGAGCCTCTGTTTTGTGTTTCTTCAACCGAGCGACTCTTGCGCTCGAGCGTGCGTCTGGGTTAACAGACTTGAAGCTTCGGCATTGTTCGCTCGAGCGAGCCTCGATTATATCAATTGGCAGCAACATGATATTCAACATTTTTCATTCCAAGCCCTAAATCTGGCTACCTCTCCTCTCTCTCTCTACAACGCTCTCCTTACAAATACTTCATATTCTGAGGTTTTTCTCTACCCCCAGTCCCTTTGTAAGAAAGTAGAGCCTTGGCCTTGGCTATCTATTGATCCGAAAAGTTAGGATTTGGAGCATC